TTCAATGGGTTTATCAGTTCTTTTTGATGATGATTTATTTTCGTGTCTAAAACGCACATAACTGTACATACCTTATTCGTATCTTTAACCTAATATCAACCATTTGTGCATTGACGCTAAAATATCATGCAAAGGTATGGAACTCTTAAGCAAAAATTAACGTGCATATTATCTCAGCATTAATTAGCTAGTTATATGATGCCCAGGTGAAGCTAATGGTTACGGTGCGATTGTTTTTGTATATTCAATGAGGTCAAGTCTGCATGATTTCACAGGTCACAGATTTCGTAGTTTCATTAAAATGTTTCAACATTCGGAACTAATTTCGAAAAACTGCAGAAATTACACTTCAACGTTTCTCGAAGGTCACAGTGAAAACAGTTTGGCGTGAATTCGAACCATCGCTTGCCTCATTTGAGGTCATCCATTGTCCTTTCCACTAGATCTCGTGCTTAACGACGACACTTATTTTACTTTATTATTTTCTTAAAAGTTAACGTTAAAAATATCCTTACCTTGTTTCGAACCATCATCAACCTCAACCACTTGTGAATTTATTGTCTTTTCCAATACACCAAAGGACCATTTTTTGAACGACCTTTGTTATTTATTTTCCTAATCTTTTTCCTTAAGGTTATTTAAATTTTTTTATACGGGATTCGAACCGTCAGCCTGACACACGGCAGGAGCTGTTTTTACCAATACACCACAAGAACGTGTGCTGCACGTTAGCGGTCATTCATTTTATTATCATTTTCTTTAAGGCTATAGTGAAAAAGATTTCTTACAGGATTTGAACCGTTTAGGAGACAATACCACAAAAACGCATGCGGCGCGGCCATATTCGAAACCGTACAGTCATGCAGTCGCATCGTTGATGGTCAGTTGCATCATTCAACTCAATACCTGGTTGCTAGAACACTGCCGACTTAATTGACCGACATATATAATGTTAAACTACGGGCTTTTCATTCATGCATTGCAGTCCAGTGGTCAAGGGTTTGGTTCTTGTGCTTGATACCTGTGTTCGAATACTGCCTGTAACCACATTGTTTTTTTTTCGTATTTGCAAAGTCCCGAATTGAACCAGTGAAAATACCTTTTGGTTAATTATTTGGGTAATTTGAGGGTTTGGTTTATTTTCTTTGTATATTTGTCGTTAATAACAAAAAATGAAAAGCCCGCTAGTTTAACATTATATATGCATGTCGGTCAATTAAATCGGCAGTGTTCTAGCAACCTGGTCAGGGGCGTAACTAGAACGATAATTGGGGGGGGGGGGAATATCCATATATTCAGTTCTGCCCGACGAATTTCTATTGTAAGCTATTGCACTTACAAAAGAAATCCGTAGGGCAGAACTGGATATATAAATATTCACGCCCCAATTATCGTTCTAGTTACGCCACTGAACCTGGTATCGATTAAATTATGCGACTGACCATCAACGATGCGACTGACTGTCTACGGTTTCGAACAGGGGTGGATCCAGCCCTAGTGTACTAATTTGCATGACACAAGAAAACTGCTAAAAATAACCATTTTGTTTTGTGATACAAATTAGTGCACTAGTGCTGGATCCACACCCGTGGTTTGGAAATTAGCTGCGGCGCAACCATGGTTATTTATTTTACCTAAACATTTTCTTAATTATCATAATGAAAACAATCTTCACAGGATCCGAACCATCATCTTGCGTCCACAACTTGGGAGACCATTGTCTTCACCAACGCATCAAAACAACAAATCTGATCGGTGACGACGGCGATTTATTTTATTATTTAATCCTATTTTTTGAGGTCGTAGTGAAAAAGTATTACGGGATTCGAACCACGGACTTGCATGCCACTTAGGAGAGGATTGTTTTCTTTATAAGACACGCAGAGATATGAACGAAGTTATTTATCTGACCTAGTAGTCGAAGGTCGAATATACGGAATTATACATTGAAATGATTTAGAATGTTACTATATAGTACAAGATATTATCCAATATAACCAGGGAGCAGCGTGGCAGCGTCTTCAAACAACTTAGCATCAATTGTGGTATAACAACTGCCTAAATAGACAAAACACTTCTCGACTTTTTGACTTGAGGGCCTTCGTCAGGAGAGTTAGGATGGGGCGAAGGCCAAACTCTCCTGACGAAGGCCCTCAGGTCGAAACGCCTCTTGGAGTGCAGTGTCTCTTACTGTAAAAAGCGATGGGGATGTTTACAAAAACATGGTAGTTTCTCTCGTTTTTAATTACTTCCAAGTGACGAGTTAGTATTCAGCGACCGCGGAGCAGGGTGGCTCGCTAGTCTTTAATTTTGAATATTTTTTAGTTAGCTCAAATTTACAAGCTAAAATTTACAAGCAATACAAGCGCTAAACATGTTGGAAACCGGCTTTACATTGGACAAGCATTTGACCATTAAAACAGCGTGGTTATCCATGTCAAAATATTTGACATCATATAATCATAACCAAAGCATGGTTATATTGTTTAATGTTTGTATATGAGCGCCAAACATGCTGGAAATTTTACATAGGACAAGCATTTGACCATCAAAACAGCGTGGTTATCCATTTCAAAATATTTGACATCATAACCAAAGCATAGTTACATTGTTTAATATTTGTATATGAGCACCAAACATGCTGGAAACTTTACATAGGACAAGCATTTGACCGTTAAAACAGCGTGGTTATTCATGTCAAAATATTTGACATCATAACCAAAGCATGGTTATATTGTTTAATGTTTGTATATGAGCACCAAACATGCTGGAAATTTTACATAGGACAAGCATTTGACCATTAAAACAGCGTGGTTATCCATTTCAAAATATTTGACATCATAACCAAAGCATGGTTATATTGTTCAATGTTTGTATATGAGCACCAAACATGCTGGAAACTTTACATAGGACAAGCATTTGACCAATAAAACAGCGTGGTTATCCATTTCAAAATATTTGACATCATAACCAAAGCATGGTTACATTGTTTAATATTTGTATATGAGCACCAAACATGCTGGAAACTTTACATAGGACAAGCATTTGACCGTTAAAACAGCGTGGTTATCCATGTCAAAATATTTGACATCATAACCAAAGCATAGTTATATTGTTTAATGTTTGTATATGAGCGCCAAACATGCTGGAAACTCTACATAGGACAAGCATTTGACCATTAAAACAGAGTGGTTATCCATTTCAAAATATTTGACATTATAACCAAAGCATGGTTATATTGTTCAATGTTTGTATATGAGCACCAAACATGCTGGAAACTTTACATAGGACAAGCATTTGACCAATAAAACAGCATGGTTATCCATTTCAAAATATTTGACATCATAACCAAAGCATGGTTACATTGTTTATTATTTGTATATGAGCACCAAACATGCTGGAAACTTTACATAGGACAAGCATTTGACCGTTAAAACAGCGTGGTTATCCATGTCAAAATATTTGACATCATAACCAAAGCATAGTTATATTGTTTAATGTTTGTATATGAGCGCCAAACATGCTGGAAACTTTACATAGGACAAGCATTTGACCATCAAAACAGCGTGGTTATCCATGTCAAAATATTTGACATCATAACCAAAGCATGGTTATATTGTTTAATGTTTGTATATGTGCGCCAAACATGATGGAAACTTTACATAGGACAAGCATTTGACCATCAAAACAGCGTGGTTATCCATGTCAAAATATTTGACATCATAACCAAAGCATGGTTATATTGTTTAATGTTTGTATATGAGCGCCAAACATGCTGGAAACTTTACATAGGACAAGCATTAGACCAATAAAATAGCGTGGTTATCCATTTCAAAACATTTGATATCATAATTAAAGCATGGTTACATTGTTTAATGTTTGTATATGAGCGCCAAACATGCTGGAAACTTTACATCGGACAAGCATTTGACCATTAAAACAGCGTGGTTATCCATGTCAAAATATTTGACATCATAACCAAAGCATGGTTATATTGTTTAATGTTTGTATATGAGCGCCAAACATGCTGGAAATTTTACATAGGACAAGCATTAGACCAATAAAACAGCGTGGTTATCCATTTCAAAATATTTGATATCATAATTAAAGCATGGTTACATTGTTTAATGTTTGTATATGAGCGCCAAACATGCTGGAAACTTTACATAGGACAAGCATTTGACCATTAAAACAGCGTGGTTATCCATGTCAAAATATTTGACATCATAACCAAAGCATATGGTTATATTGTTTAATGTTTGTATATGAGCGCCAAACATGCTGGAAACTCTACATAGGACAAGCATTTGACCATTAAAACAGCGTGGTTATATCCATGTCAAAATATTTGACATCATAACCAAAGCATGGTTATATCGTTTTATGAGCGCCAAACATGCTGCAAACTTTACATAGGACAAGCATTTGACCATTAAAACAGCGTGGTTATCCATGTCAAAATATTTGACATCATAACTAAAGCATGATTATATCGTTTAATGTTTGTATATTAATGCCAAACATGCTGGAAACTTTACATAGGACAAGCATTTGACCATTAAAACAGCGTGGTTATCCATATCAAAATATTTGACATCATAACCAAAGCATGGTTATATTGTTTAATATTTGCATATGAGTTTCAAACATGCTGGAAACTTTACTTTACATAGGACAAGCATTTGACCATTAAAACAGCGTGGTTATCCACGTCAAAATATTTGACATCATAAAGGCAAAGCAAGGTTATATTGTTTGTAATGAACGGCAAACATGTTGGAAACTTTACATAGTATGTATTATTTTCCAATAATCCTTTGAGAGGCATTTGCGGCGATTTCAGAGGCCTATGTATAGCCCCGTTTACACTACACTCGATTTATTGGCACTGCACGGCTAAGATGGGTACCCGTGCCCATTTCATCCGTGCTCGGCCTTTGTTTTGGTAGCCTGAACACTAATAAAACTGGGCACGGGTACCAATTTTAGCCGTGCCGTGCCATAAAATTGAGTGTAGTGTAAAGGGGGCTTATATTTCAAAATTTTCCCGGACTCTCCTAGCAGGTGTGCGGTGCCGAGCCCCAGCAATACGAAAAACGCTCCGGGTTCCCTGGTATTATAACTGGTCGAGTGTTCCCCTGGACAGTTCAAAGAACGCTGGTCTTTAATTCCCCCAAACCTTAGTTTGGTGTAAGCAAAATAAAGTGCATTAAATTGAGGCTCTGTGGAAAAATGTTAATAAAATGGTAATATACACAACACATAGTTAACACACAACTGTTGTGGCTCCGCATCTTGCTTCTTGCATTTCCGGAAGTTCTTCCCAGGCGAAAGAGTCAAATCTGAAACTCTCCACGGACTTTAAAGAGTTTCCACCTTCACCTTGTCCCCCCATGACAATCACTGTGTCACTAACAACTGCGGCCGCACATCTCTGCCTTTTATACTTCATGCCTGGTAACATGTGGCTCTTCTGAGTTTTCACATTGTATATTAATACTTTGTCCAACGGTTTACCGTCACTGTCACTGCCTCCGATTATAATCACATTGTCGCTACCCCACTTCACTGTGGCCATGTTGTCCACGGCATAAGGTAATGGTGCTAAATTATGGCATTCATTGTTGACAATATCATACGACAAAACACTTTTCATATTCGACCACTGCCGCATGTCTTTCCTTCCTCCAAGAATTACGATCGTGTTACCAAACAAGACAGCACCATGTAACCATCTACTTTCTGGCATAGTAGCCAAAACTTTACCGGTATTAGGAGAAACAAGAGAAACCTCAGTAATATTATCAATAAAAGCAGTGTGATTGTAACCGCCAATGACTATTAACCGTCCATCGAAAATGACACTACAATGTCCAAACAATGGCTTGGGTAACTCTACAGGATCATATTTCCAAAATATGAAGGAGTCAGCATAGACTGCTTTCAGCGATAATTTTTCCAATGACTTGTTGGCTTGATCGGAGAAACCTCCACTGACGATGGTTTCATTGTTGTGAGAGACCGAAGATGCTAGATAACGGCGTTGTTTCATTGGTTGTAGTGGTAACCATTCTGCATTTGAGAGACTGAACATTTCTACAGAGTTCAAACTTTTATCATTCCATCCCCCAGCAATGACAATCCTCGGCTCTTCGTCTGGTTGAACAGCTCTTGCAAAGGCTTCCCTAATATCTTCCTGCTCCCCAGTTAACCTTTCCAACTGTTCGGCCACTTCCTTTAAACCTTTCTTCATTTCTTTATTGCCCGCTTCAAAGCGACGATTGCTTTTTTTCTGCTCGTTGACTTGCTTTTGAGTCATTTCAATGTTCGCGGCAACATTTTCTTCTAGCGCTTTGAAGTTCTCAATGCTTCGTTGCTCATTTTGTTTTATGGTCTCACTAACTTTATCCAATTTCAGGCATATCGTGGCCACATTCTCGTTAATACTGTCTATCTTTCGGCTAAGTTCATTGCAGCTATGACATTTCACACGGCGAAATTCACACACGGCCGTTTCATGATGCAATAAATCTTGCTTATCGACTTCCTGACCACAGCCTTCATTCGAGCAGACTGCTGGGGCAAAACCACACTCCGCAACATGCCTTTGAAGCTCTCCTAACTGGACAAACCTTTCACAACCATAATTAAAGAATTCACATCGAATCTTTAATTCCGACAGCAAATTGGTTACGGTACGCGATGCTCGAGTCAAGGTGTCAACAGTGAGTGGCTCAATACATGTGGGACATGTCTGAGAGTTCATGAGATGTCTGGTGATGCAACCTCTACAGAACATGTGCTCATTATGTCGACACATGACTGGATCTTTGATGACATTGTAACAAATACCACAGTGAAAGCTCTGACCAACTGGATGTTGGAATCGCTCATCATCATATCCAGTTTCGTACGAAGCCATTTTCTGTTTACATCTGGAAGAATTCACAAAGATTTGAATAACCTAACCTTATTTTTATATTCTTCTTCATAAGACGACAAATTTTTAGGTAAGTAAATTCTTCATCTTTATGGTTATCTACAATCTGGGGCCGTGGGAGATCGTTAATTGGGAGAGGGAGGTATTAATAAATTCAACAGGCCGAAAAACAATCAATTTTAAAAGAAACAAATAATGCTGAACGTCAATAAATTATATGAGTACATGCTCTCTTCTCCACTTCACAATCATCCGCGGCCCCTGCTCCCACGATATATGTTGTTGAGAGTTCTTTTTTCGCTTCCACGAGAAAGCGCCATACGAAATCATGATCGAGGCGAAAACACACGATATTTTAAGAGAAAAGACATTGATGCCAAAACAGCTGCTCTACGTCAACCGTGTCAACAACAATGTTTAGTTTGCTTGTGGCGGACAGCGCTGCTTTTAGTGCAAACACTCACGTTAAATGGCATTGTTTGAAAACATCGCGGTGTTTGTTTAGGACCTCAGAAGATGGGATATTTGATGCTTATTATAACTGACTTGTGTATATGAAAACAAAAACATAGTTTAGCACTTGATTTGATTTAGCACTTGGTAATGCATGGGTAGACTCTGCAGTCGTATGATTATTGTTGCAGAACCTATAATGAATCATAGGCGACTTTTTTAGAATACAAATAAATTAGAGCGCTCAGGTTTAACACTCTTTCTCTTTCTCTTACGCTATTCTTTCATTACAACCAACTGAACCAAGCATTTAAGTGAATATTACTGTACACACAACATTATGAAAGGACTTCATAGCAATACTTGTACTTCCTGAGATATACAATATGAAATCAAACTTGATTCTTTACCTTGGTTTTAATTCTTTCAGATAGATCCAGAGTAAACCGAATGTGCAAGTCGCTGTAATTTGAAATATTAATGTGACCAGAAGCCGCAAAATTCAATTTCCGTGCAGTTCGAAAATAGGGACGAGAGTCTAGAATATCTCAATGACTTATCGTTTGTGTTTAGTTTCGCTTTGAGTTGCATAAACTAAGCTGGCCCACCTGGTGTTTCTATTGATGAATATTTAATCAAGTATTGCAAAAATTATATGCGAAGAACTATAATGCGGTTACTATCCGTATCAGATTTGAAAATATAAGGTTGGATTTCATAATTCTGTTTAAAACATCCTGTTGTCAGCTGTTAAAACTGTAAACTACATTTTGGGCAGTTAATCGTAGTTAACTCCAAAATTCACAATTCAGTTGCCCAAGCAAGCCAAAAGTAACGTGATACCGTGGAACAAAACAAACAGTCGATTTTTTGCTCAAATAAACCTTTTTAAAAAGTCAATCGATCAAAGTAAGCCTCACAAATTCAGAGGTGGAATATGTGATTGAAATTCAAAAAAATGTTTCTCGACTCAATTTTGGTTTAAACCGTTCGTCCGCTCCTCCACAGAATTTTTATGTCGGCTGTACGTCAATGAAATTACGTAGCCACTTCACCGTAAGCCTTCTTCTATCAACGTTCACCGTACAAAAAAGTATTTTAAAACCAGGAACATGTTATAGGTTTAAAGTGGTTTTACTGCATCAATCACAGTATCAATACATTACCGTGCAGGTTTAAATATCTTGTCAGAACGTCAAAAGTTCTTTAAATCGATCTGTACTATATTATAGGTCTGAAAACAAAAATGGCCATGCCTGCGACATTACATGCTCTTTCTCAAGAAATAGCCGTGCATGTCTCTCTATAGCAATTACAAGATGACGATTTGAAATGCTTTTCAATTTCCTAAATTTAACATCTAATTTTACAAATGTATTCATTAAATCATTCGTTACACTCAACGCTACTCAAAATATACGATTTTCATAGTTTGCACATTAAAATGGCGCGACTACAAGTACAAATACTAGTCATTCCCGTAATGGTGAAATCGTTCATATATACTATATTGCTAAGAAATATAATTTAGCGAGTTTTATAAGTGACTATGTGGTTAAGATATCAAAACAAAGAAACAACCCAAAAGTCAGAAGAAGTAGTATGGTCCGGGAGAAGGCTTCGGTGTTTTGAAGAAGCTGCGAATTAAACTGCTCCCTGAATATTTTGGGACGCATAACATATAGTCAACATACAACTGCTGTTGCCTGGTATCTTGCTTCTTGCATTTCTGGAAGTTCTTCCCAGGCGAAGGAGTCAAACCTGAAACTTTCAACAGACTTGAGGGTTTCTCCTGTTTCACATTGGCCCCCCATGACTATCACAGTGTCTCTGACAACTGTGGCCATACATCCTTGTCGCTTGTACTTCATGTCTGGTAACATGTGAATCTTTTGGGTTTTAACATTGTACATTAATACTTTGTCCAAAGATTTACCATCGTTGTCAATTCCCCCGATTACAATCACATTATCTTGACCCCACTTGACTGTGGCCATGTCACTCACAGGATAAGGTAATGGTGCTAATTCCTGACATTCATTCTTGACAAAATCATACAGCAAAACGCTTTTCAGATTCGACCAATGTTTCCAACCATTTCTTCCACCGAGGATCACAATTTTGCTGCCGAACAAGACAACACTGTGTAACCATATTCCCTCTGACATTGTTGCCAAAACTTTACTCCTGTGCTGTGGCACAAGAGAAATATCAGAAATATTACTGGAAAATGAGGTGTAATAGCCACAAATTACTATGAATCGCCCATCAAAAATGATACTGCTGTGTCCGCACAATGGCCCAGGTAACTCTACAGCATGATTTTCCCAAACTATGGACTGGTCTATGCGGACAGCTTTCATCGATAACTTTTTAATCGATTTGATGAAATCAAGTTGGGTATAACCTCCACTGACAATGATTTGATTGTTGTAAACGACTGACGAGGCTAATTGAAGCGGTTCCTCGAGTGGTTGTAGTCGTGTCCACAACGCATTCGAGAGACTGAACATTTCCACAGAATTTAGACATCCACCATTCCATCCTCGAGCAACAACAATAATTGGATCTCTGTCTACCTCATCAACTTCAGCAATTGCAACGCTTTTCTTCATATCTTCCTGTTGCTGTGTCAATCTTTTCAATTCTTCCGTCACTTTATTTAAGCCATCCTTTATTTTCAAATTGTCGACTTCGAACTGACGATTGGTTTCTCTCTGACTTGTAAGTTGATCTTGAACCATCATCTCAACATTTGTGAGCACACTTTTCTCGTTTCTCGCCAACTTTCTCTCATTTCGTTTAACGGTTTCATCAACATCAATCAACTTCACGTTCATTGCGGCCAAATTCAGCTTAACTATCTCCATCTCTTGGCTGATTTTATTACAGTTGTGACATTTCTCACGGTGTACTTCTTTACACTCGGCTGTTTCATGATGCAGTAAATCTTGTTTATTCATTTCCAGACCACAGCCTTCATTCGAGCAGACTGCTGGGGCAAAACCACACTCCGCAACATGCCATTCAAGATCTCCTAACTCGACAAATCCTTCACATCCACGATTAAAGAATTCACATCGAATTTTTAACTCTGAAAGTAAGTTCGTTACGGTACGCGATGCTCGAGTCAAGGTGTCAACAGTAAGTGGCTCAATACATGTGGGACATGTCTGAGAGTTCATGAGATGTCTGGTGATGCAACTTCTACAGAACAAGTGTTCATTATGTCGACACATGACCGGGTCTTTGATGACATTGTAGCAAATACCACAGTGAAAGCTCTGACCAACTGGATGTTGGAATCGCTCATCGTCATATCCACTTTCGTATGAAGCCATTTTCTGTTTACATCTGAAAGAATTCATAAAAGTGGCAATGATTTCTCTATCCACCTTTACAAAGAAAGTCGCAAAAGAATATAAACCGTGTGTGAACAGCTTTGTTTTCGTCTAATGGCAAAAAGACCTGGCGCATGTTTTGCGGTTTATTTGCATTTCGATGTTCCACTAGTTTTTTTTTATATCATCCTGGTGGTAGTATATCATTTACCAGATTATCTCGCGCTCATATTTTAGCCAATTAGCGCCCAAAAGGGTCAAAATTGAAACCATTTTGCAGTACTCAATCGATCTTATCTTTTGATTTTCTTTATAAAACTAGTCAAAATTTTGTGATTACGTTTAGTTAAAACACAGATAACTGTGGTTAAAAGTACTGTAAGTTTGACGTAAATTTAAACCGAAATAAAGTGTTTTTTTACCAATCAGCAGCGGGCGGAATCCTAGCCTTTCCTGCAATCTGATTAGCTGCAGCAGCGAGCGGAATTTTACGATATCTGACTACGGTCTGGTCTATATTTTATGCACGATAAATCGAAGTGAATTTTAGTAAATTAAACCAAAGAGGTTTTATGTTTTTGTCGCCACTGCTGAATCTGACTACACAATTATAATACGACCGAACGCCGCTTCTTGTAAAAACAAATACGTTATTTACCGTCTTGTTACCTCGAGAAAATATTTTTCTATCCGGACCTCGCAGCCGGTAAATAACATATATACATTTCAAAGAATATCAAGTTGTTTCAACTAAGAAATGCATTTTTATTTGACAACTAGTCCCAGTCCTTTCCCGCTAGCCACGGGATATCATGGTATATGATATGTAACGAGGTCGAAGCACGCGTCCCGCTGGGTCTATATATCTGAGGTAATTGATGTCGAAAATTTAGTATCTCTGAAACAATAACCCCATTTTACATCGGAACGCAACATTCATGACAATTATATATTTGAATGCCTAGTTGTTATGATTGTATTTCATATTCTATACAAGAAGAGATGATAGATGTAATTTGAAAAACAAATTTACGTGCTAATTGATTCCTACACGAGCAATGTTTTTCAATAGAGACCTTTAGCTTGACGTTTACGGCAAACGCCAAGCCAGTATATATGCCAAACCACATATACTGCATACACCCTGAGCCGTTCACGTATAAAATTTTATACGGCGAACGTGAAACATATACGGCAAAGCTGAATTTGCTGCTTTTCTAAATACATCAGAAATAGCCTATTGCTTTCTTGCAATAGTGCTGAACATCACAAGTTTTACGTAGAACGTTTGTAATTTAGCTAAATTGCCGCAACTAAAAAATAGTGGAGTTAAAACAGAACCTTTGTTAGCGGTTTGGTCAAGCTAAAAGGTCTCTAATATATCGGTTTTGCATCAATAAACATGACTTTAAAATATATAAACCATACCATTATAAAACTTGAAGGAATCAGGCCCTAAAATTTCGCATTGCGTTCTCAGACAAATTCAGCTTTTATAAATTTGAGTATCCCTTTCACAGAATATATATACGGCAAAAGAGCCGATAAAATAGTTGTGGTCCAGTATGGATTGAAGGTCTCACGGCGTTTGTTTCAACATCAACAATGTTAGTCATTTGAATTTAGGCGCATATAGCTAATCTTGCCCCATTTTGTTATTAAGAAGTCCACATTTAGCGCTCAAAACAAGGCTCAATCATAAAGAATGAAATGTTGTCTGCCGCTGTAAAGTTGTACATTCCATACAGTGTTGTGGTCGACGGGGAGCATACGTTTGAGATTTGAAAAATATTACTTTAAATTCGGTTCATTTCATTACCTTGTTTTCAACTTCCTCGTCTGAATCTACACTTTGTTTCGTATTCACATATCGCTTCAGTTTGTGATTTACCCAGTAGAAGCTGCAGAATTTGACCGTCCGAAATTGTAGACGAAATATTACATGCTTTGTGTGTTTAGTCTCAGTTTGAGTTGCATACACCCCAATCGAGGATATCTTATTACACGGAAATTACGACATGGTGCAAACTAAGACTTCCTTTGTATGTCTATATTGGCTGATTTCAAATTCAGGCGTCTGATAAGATTTCAGTAAATATTACATGACTTTCGAGCAGAAATTTTTCGACACTACTTGGCATTCCTGCAGCCTCCAGGCCCGGTCGGTATTAGGCACCATGAAAAGAATGTGGTATTATACTTCGTTTCTGCAGCCAATCCATCAGAGAAATGAATCGGATGATCCCTGTTGTCTAAAAAAACGGGTATGAATATTGGAGCGATTAAAATAACCACTGTCGCTTTCGTACAACGCCAGTAAAAATATAGAAACAAACTAACGGTGCAGGCAGGATTGCGGGAAACTTTTTGTGAATGGTAATAAATTTGAACCAACGCAAAACAACCGTACTTTTGTTTATTATGTATGTATGGACTAGATTAACCCTTGCGACCGATAATCCATCTGTATAAACAGGCCCAAGTGCAAAGAGCACATAGCACATCAGGGGCCGTTGTACGAAGACCTACGAAAGCTGTTTAGCACCGGATAGTATTTTTTTTATCATTATAAAAAAGGTGTCTGAAAAAGAACTGTAGATATTGACCCAATAATGAATAGAGAGACACAATTACTTCAAGAGTAGGAAGGTTTAATTCAAATTTTAGCAAAACAGGAGCAATTTTAGAGCGATAGTAAAAAAACACTGTTTGGTGGATATTACTATCCGACCTTCGTAAAAGCGGCTCCATGCAGAATATCAAATCTTGATAACCTGAACGCTCATGCCTTTCGTTCTATCCTTTACATACATGTAACGAAAATGCGCTAGTTTTAATCAATTACAAACACCACTAGTATACTTTGTCTGTAAATTATTAATCGATCCATTTACTTCACCAGCATGCAGGAGTATAAACTGGATCAATGTTATAAACTGTTTCATTGTTCTTGGAAATCAAATGTCAATATACGGTACTATACATTTAAATGATATAAAATGTTAAATTTATACAGGACATGATTAACACACAACTGTTGTAGCTCCGTATCTTGCTTCTTGCATTTCCGGAAGTTCTTCCCAGGTGCATGAATCGAACCTGAAACTTTCGACAGACTTTAAAGAGTTTCCTCTTTCATCTTGTCCCCCCATGACAACCACAGTGTCACCAACGACTGCGGCAGCACATCCTCTCCTCTTATACTTCATGTCTGGTAACATATGGCTCTTCTCAGTCTTCATGTTATATATTAGTACTTTGTTCAATAACTTACCGCTATAGTCGCTGCCTCCGATTAAAATCACTTCGTCATCACCCCACTTGACAGTGGCCATTCCATGCATAGGATAAGGCAATGGTGCTAAATGACGACATTCATTCTTGACAATATCATAAGACAAAACGCTTTCTAGATTCGACGAACCTTCCCAAACTTTTCTTCCGCCAAGAATTGCGATTGTGTTACCAAACAAGATAGCCCCATGTTGCCATCTACTCTCTGGCAGGGTAGCCAACACTTTACTGGTGTAAGGAGGAACAAGAGTTATCTCAGTAATGTTAGCAGGTGTAAATGCAGTTCCATCATAACCTCCAATGACTATCAACCGCCCATTATACATAACACTGGAGTGTCCATACAAGGGCCTGTGTAACTCTGCAGGATCATCTTCCCAAAATATGGACTCGTTTACATGGACATATTTCAACGATAATTTTTCCATCGACTTTACTGCCTTACGATTCCTAAAACCTCCACTGACAAGCATTGTTGCACCGTAGTAATGTCTTCTGTGCATATATATTTTGCATCCTTCGTATTGTTTGTAAAATGTGGTTTGTATTGTCGGATAATTATATCTCGTAATATACATCGCGCACCGCAGTAATGTCTTCTGTGCAATATATTTTGCCGTATTGTTTGTAAAAGTGGCTTGTATTGTCGAATAATTACATTTCGTCATACATTATTGGGTCAAGTGCGCAATGCATTCTGGGTCATCGAGGTCCAAAACGCGACCGACACACGACGAAACCTAGACTCGTGCCCTCCTAGAGCACGAGTAACGAGGTCGAAGCACGCGTCTCGCTGGGTCTATACATCGCAGGTCTTTGAAGTCAAAAATTTAGTATCTCCGAAACAATAACCCCATTTTACATCGGAACGCAGCATGCATGACAATTATATATTTGAATGCCCAGTTGTTATGATTGTATTTCATATTCTACACAAGAAGAGATGATAGATATAATTTGAAGAACAAATTTACGTTCTAATATTGATTCCTACACGAGCAATGTTTTTCAATAGAGACCTTTAGCTTGACGTTTATGGCAAACCATTATATGCCAAACCACATACTGCATACACCCTCAGCCGTTCACGTATTAAATTTTTTACGGCGAACGTGAAACATATACGGCAAAGCTGAATTTGCTGCTTTTCTAAATACATCAGAAATAGCCTATTGCTTTTTTACATTAGTGCTGACCATCACAAGTTTTATGTAAAACGTTTGTAATTTAGCGAAATTGCCGCACACTTAAAGATAGTGGAGTTAAAACAGAAACTTTGTTAGCGGCTTGGCGTTTGGTCAAGCTAAAGGTCTCTAATATATCGGTTTTGCATCAATAAACATGACTTTAAAATATATAAGCCATACCATTATAAAACTCCAAGAAATTAAGCCCTAAAATCTCGCATTGCGTTCTCAGACAAATTCAGCCTTTACAAATTTTGAGTGTCCCTTTAACAGAATATACATACGGCAAAAGAGCCGATAAAATAGTTGTGGTCCAGTATGGATTGAAGGTCTCACGGCGTTTGTTTCAACATCAACAATGTTAGTCATTTGAATTTAGGCGCATATAAGCTAATCTTTCCCCATTTTGTTATTAAAAAGTCCACATTTGGCGCTGAAAACAAGGCTCAATTATAAAGAATGAAATGTTGTCTGCCGCTGTAAAGTTGTACATTCCATACAGCGTTGTGGTCGACGGGGAGCAGACGTTAGAGAGGTGAAAAATATTACTTTAAATTCGGTTCATTTCATTACCTTGTTTTCAACTTCCTCGCCTGAATCTACACTTTGTTTCGTATTCACATATCGCTTCAATTTGTGATTTACCCAGTCCCAGTAGAAGCTGCAGAATTTGACCGTCCGAAATTGTAGACGAAATATTACAACTTGTTGTTTTGTGTGTTTTGTCTCAGTTTGAGTTGCATACACCCCAATCGAGGATATCTTATTACACGGAAATTACGACATTGTGCAAACTAAGACTTCCTTTGTATGTCTATATTGGCTCATTTCAAATTCAGGCGTTCGGGTCTGATAAGATTTCAGTAAATATTACACGACTTTCGAGCAGAAATTTTTCGACACTACTTGGCATTCCTGCAGCCTCCAGGCCCGGTCGGTATTAGGCACCATGAAAAGAATGTGGTATTAGACTTCGTTTCTGCAGCCAATCCATCAGAGAAATGAATCTGATGATCCCTGTTGTCTAAAAAATGGGTATGAATATTGGAGCGATTAAAATAACCACTATCGCTTTCGTACAATCACAGTAAAGATATAGAAACAAATTATCGGTGCGGGCCTGATGGCGGTAAACTTTATGTGAATGGTAATAAATTTGAACCGACGCAAAACAACCGTACTTTTGTTTACCCTTGCGACAGATCATCCATCTGTATAAACAGGTCCAAGTGCAAAGAGCACATAGCACATCAGGGGCCGTTGTACGAAGACCTACGAAAGCTGTTTAGCACCGGATAGTATTTTTTTTATCATTGTAAAAAAGGTGTCTGAAAAAAAAATGTAGATATTGACCCAATAATGAATAGAGAGACACAATTACTTCAAGAGTAGGAAGGTTTAATTCAAATTTTAGCAAAACACGAGCAATTTTAGAGCGATAGTAAAAAAACACTGTTTGGTGGATAGTGCTATCCGACCTTCGTAAAACCGGCTCCATGCAGAACATCAAATCTTGATAACCTGAACGCTCATGCCTTTCGTTCTATCTTTTACATACATGTAACGAAAATGCGGTAGTTTTAATCAATTACAAACACCACTAGTGTACTTTGTCTGTGAAATTATTAATCGATCCATTTACTTCACCAGCAGGAGTATAAACTGGATCAATGTTATAAACTGTTTCATTGTTCTTGGAAATCAAATGTCAATATACGGTACTATACATTTAAATGATATAAAATGTTAAATATATACAGGACATGATTAACATACAACTGTTGTAGCTCCGTATCTTGCTTCTTGCATTTCCGGAAGTTCTTCCCAGGTGCGAAAGTCGAACCTGAAACTTTCGACAGACTTTAAAGAGTTTCCTTTTCATCTTGTCCCCCATGACAACCACAGTGTCACCAACGACTGCTGCAGCGCATCCTCTCCTCTTATACTTCATGTCTGGTAACATATGGCTCTTCTGAGTCTTTGATGTTATATATTAGTACTTTGCTCAATAACGTACCGCCATTGTCACTGCCTCCGATTAAAATCACTTTGTCATCACCCCACTTGACAGTGGCCATTTGATTCACAGGATAAGGCAATGGCGCTAAATGACGACATTCATTCTTGACAATATCATACGACAAAACGCTTTTCAGATTCGACGAACCTTCCCAAACTTTTCTTCCCCAAGAATTGCCGATTGTGTTACCAAACAAGATAGCCCCATGTTGCCATCTACTCTTGGCAGGGTAGCCAACACTTTACTGGTGTAAGGAGGAACAAGAGTTATCTCAGTAATGTTAGCAGGTGTAAATGCAGTTCCATCATAACCTCCAATGACTATCAACCGCCCATTATACATAACACTGGAGTGTCCATACAAGGGCCTGTGTAACTCTGCAGGATCATCTTCCCAAAATATGGACTCGTTTACATGGACATATTTCAACGATAATTTTTCCATCGACTTTACTGCCTTACGATTGCTAAAACCTCCACTGACAAGCATTTGATTGTTGTAAACGACAGACGGTGCCAAACGACGGGGCTGTTTCATTGGTTGTAGTGGTAACCACTTTCCATTTGAGTAGCTGAACATTTCCACAGAATTTAAACTCCCACCGTTATATCCCCCGGCAACGATAATCCTCGGCTTTCTGTCCGGTTCAACAGCTTCTGCGGAACTTTTCTTTAGATCTTCTCGCTGCTGGGTCAATCTTTCCAATTGTTGTGCCATTTTCTCTTTTTCTTCATTTCTACATTGTCCGCTTCTAACCGACGATTGTTTTCCTCCTGCTTGTTGAGTTGTTTTTGAAGCATCTCAACGTTTCTATTCAATTTCATCTCATTTTTTTCCAGGACTTTGCCAAAGTGATTCAACATGAGCTTCATAAAAGCCAAATTGCCCTTAATCACATCCATCTCTTGGCTGATTTCATTGCAGCTTGGACATTTCACACGGCGAAATTTACACACGGCTGTCTCGTGATGCAATAAACCTTGCTTATTCACCTTCTGACCACAGCCTTCATTCGAGCAGACTACTGGGGCGAACCCACAGTCCCCAAGATGCCTTTGAAGATCTCCTAACTCCACAAATGTTTCACAACCACGATTGAAGAATTCACATCGAATCTTTAATTCCGACAGTAAATTGGTTACGGTACGCGATGCTCGAGTCAAGGTGTCAACAGTAAGTGGCTCAATGCATGTTGGACATGTCTGAGAGTTCATGAGATGTCTGGTGATGCAACTTCTACAGAACAAGTGTTCATTATGTCGACACATGACTGGATCTTTGATGACATTGTAGCAAATACCACAGTGAAAGCTCTGACCAACTGGATGTTGGAATCGCTCATCGTCATACCCACTTTCGTATGAAGCCATTTTTATCACATCTGAAAGAATTCATAAAAGTTGCAATGATTTCTCTACCCGCGTTAACAAAGAAAGTCGCAAAAGAATATATACCGTGTGTGAACAGCTTTGTTTTCGTCTAATGGCAAAAAGATCTGGCGCATGTTTTGCGGTTTATTTGTATATTTCGATGTTTCACCATTTTTTTTTTATTTCTGTTACATCATCATGGTTGTAGTATATCATTTACCAGATTATCTCGCGCTCATATTTTAGCCAATCAGCGCCCAAAAGGGTCAAAATTGAAACCATTTTGCAGTACTCAGTCGATTATATCTTTTGATTTTCTTTATAAAACTAGGCAAAATTTTGTGATTACGTTTAGTTAAAACACAGATAACTGTGGTTAAAAGTACTATAACTTTGACGTAAATTTGAACCGAAATAAAGTGTTTTTTTACCAATCAGCAGCGGGCGGAATCCCAGCCTTTCCTGCAATCTGACTGGCTGCAGCAGCGGGCGGAATTTTACGATATCTGACCACGGTCTGGTCTATATCTTATGCACGATAAATTGAAGTGAATTTTAGTAAATTAAAGCAAAGAGGTTTTATGTTTTTGTCGCCACTGCTGAGTCTGACTACACAATTATAATACGACCGAACGCCGCTTCTTGTAAAAAAATGAATACGTTATTTACCGTCTTGTTACCTCGAGAAAAGATTTTTCTATCCGAACCTCGCAGCCGGTAAATAACATATATAAATTTCAAAGAATATCAAGTTGTTTTAACTAAGAAATGGATTTTTATTCGACAACTAGTCCCAGTCCTTTCCCGCTTGCCACGGGATATCATGGTATATGATATGTAACGAGGTCGAAGCACGCGTCTCGCAGGGTTTATATATCCGAGGTAATTGATGTCGAAAATTTAGTATCTCTGAAACAATAACCCCATTTTACATCAGAACGCAACATTCATGACAATTATATATTTGAATGCCTAGTTGTTATGATTGTATTTCATATTCTATACAAGAAGAGATGATAGATGTAATTTGAAAAACAAATTTACGTTCTAATTGATTCCTACACGAGCAATGTTTTTCATTAAAGACCTTTAGCTTGACGTTTACGGCTAACGCGAAACCGCTATATGCCAAACAGCCAAACCACATACTGCATACACCCTGAGCCGTTCACGTATAAAATTTATACGGCGAATGTGAAACATATACGGCAAAGCTGAATTTGCTGCTTTTCTAAATACATCAGAAATAAATTTATTTTATTTTAAACGGTTCAATGTTCAAAAATCAAAAAGAAAAATGTTTATCTTGTACCAGTTCAATTTTATACGTATCAAAATTACTCGCCAGTGCAAGACCTCTGTATGATGGAAACGTGCAAAGAAAAACCGTTAGTCATAAACCGTTAGAAACCTCGATGTACTTTCTTCTTGGATCAAGATTGTTTATAAACACTTCTATTGCTATCATTCTGCTATGTTTATCTGGTGATATTGAAAGCAATCCTGGTCCTGCGTTTGAAATCGCTGGCTGTTTAAGACGGGGATTCAAAGTAAGTCATCTTAATGTGCGAAGTTTACTACCAAAGATTGACTCAATACGCCTGTTTATCAGCAAAAATCCATTTGACGTTTTTACTTTATCTGAAACTTGGCTTAAACCTACATGTACCGATGCAGAAATTAGCATACCAAACTATCTAATCACTCGTCAAGACCGTAAAGATAAAGCCGGTGGCGGAACAGCCATTTATATTAAGGAGAGTTTACCATATCGAACACGCGATGATTTATGTAGTAAAACAATCGAAACTTGTTGGATTGAGATTATACGACCTCATACGAAATCAATGTTAGTTTGCTCGGTTTATCGACCACCAGATTTCCCAATAAATCATTTTATAGAAGAACTAAACAAAGATCTCGCTAAAATCCCAGAAAATGCAGAAATTATTTTAATGGGTGATTTCAATGTCGACTACAAACAACGCTCAACGGACAAATCGCGCATACAAACCTTTGCGCGCGCTCACTCAATCGAACAAATCATCACGTCACCAACAAGAATCACGGAAAAAACGCAATCAATGATTGATTTGATTTTCGTGAACAATAATCCACGTGTTGTTTCTAGCGGAGTTTTTCCTTTGTCAATCAGCGATCATTCCCTGATATATTGCACAGTTAAAGCTGGTCTTTCTAAATCTGGCGGATGTTACAGAGACATTAACTATCGTTGCTATAAGAATTACAATGAAAACGAATTTAAAGATGATCTAGGAAAATCAGATTGGACATTCGTTAACTCGTCGAACCATATTGATGAAATTACCAATAAATTCTGTAAAACATTTTCTGAATCAGCCGATAAACATGCCCCTATGAAAAGCAAGAGAGTAAAATCTACCATACGAGGACCATGGTTGACCTCTGAACTACATAACCTAATGCGAGAACGCGACTTCCATCTAAAACATGCCCAAAAGTACAGTTCAGAATACCACTGGAGTACCTACCGCGATCTCAAAAATTACATAAACCAGCAAGTCAAGATATGTAAATCCAACTACTATCAAAATTTGATCAATGTCAATAGAGATAAACCGGACGAGCTTTGGAAAACAATTAATGAAGTCACCTCTCGTAATCCATCCAAAAGCACTCCCTCCTGTATTATCAGTGATAACGTCGCAGTAATCGACCCAAGTTGCATCGCAACAATCATGAACGACTACTTTTCATCTATAGGATCCACGCTTGCAAACAAGATCAAAGATTTGCTTAAACCCAAGTCAACTGAAACTCACGCTACACCATCGCATTCATTTAATTTCAAAAAAATTGAGGAAATATGTGTACTGCAGGAACTAAACAAATTAAGAACTAACAAAGCCACTGGTCTGGACGGAATTAGTGCCAAACTACTTAAAGATTCTGCCTATGTAATAGCACCATATTTGACCAAAATATTCAACCTTTCCCTACGCTGTGGCTCATTTCCCGAAATCTGGAAAAAGGGTAGAGTTACTCCAATTTTCAAATCTGGAGATCCAACTTCATCTAACAACTACCGACCAATAACTATCCTACCAACCTTGAGTAAGTTATTAGAACGTATCGTCCACCGTCAAGTTTACAATTACCTGCAGGAACATAAGTTAATTACTCCCCAACAATTCGGTTTTCGCCCTAAACTGTCAACAACTATTGCATTGGCACATTTTGCTGAGCAGATACTGGATAATCTCGATCACAAAAAGTTTACTGGTGCCGTCTCTATCGACCTAAAAAAAGCTTTTGATACCGTCGACCATACAATCTTATTGGAGAAATTGAAATCATTTGGCTTTTCTTCGACTGCTCTCGACTGGTTCTTCTCTTATCTATCAAACCGTACCCAAGTAACTATGATCAATAATTCAATATCCCACCCCAAGCTAGTTACTGTTGGAGTTCCTCAGGGAAGTATTCTTGGACCACTTCTCTTCCTGATTTATATCAATGATCTACCTGAATGCCTGACGCACTGCAAGTCGATACTTTATGCTGATGACACTCTCCTGTATTACTCTGCAGAGAGTATTTCAGAACTTCAGTCAAAACTCAACTCCGACCTGCAATCCCTTTCCTGTTATCTTAACAACAACCTCCTTACACTCAATTATGAAAAGACAAAGTTCATCATTTTTGCTGGTACTCGACGCCTACGATCCATATCTGAAATAAACATCTCTATTGGCAATCGTACTATAAAACAAGATGAATCGTTGAAATACCTGGGAATCACGATCACCGAAAACCTTACCTGGCATAAACATATTGAGAACCTAATGGGGAAAATTAACCAAAGATTGGGATTGCTGCGCCGTGTGAAATATTTCTTACCGCTGGATGCAAGACAAATTTTCTATACCTCGGCAATTTTACCACTATTCGACTATGCTGATATAATATGGGGCGATAAAAACAATTCTGAGCTTATGAATTCCCTACAAACCCTGGAAAATAAAGCAGCTAAATTGATTCTAGACCTCCCTCCTCTTTCGTCAGCAACAGAAGCACTCGCTACATTACACTGGTCAACACTCTCTTCTCGCAGATATAAACATCGATGTATCTTCATATACAAATGCACCAATGGACTGATCGATTTCGGCTTCAACCTAAGAACCAACAGAAGCGTCCATTCCCACAACACAAGGTCGTGTAACAACCTTCATCTTCCGAAAGTCAACACTAACTGGGGTAAACATAAACCTACATACCAAGCTTCTAAAGAATTCAACAACTTGAACGATTCCATCAGAAACTCTATCTCTCTGAGTCATTTTAAGTCGTCCCTGAAGTGACATTGACTGACACACTATATATAAATATTGTTAATTGCATGTCTCAATATGTTTTTTGTTTGTCTATGTCCATGTCCACGTCGTTGTCCTTGTCCTTTTTAATGTATGTGTATGTCTATGTCTATGATTATTAGAAAACGTAGAACATTTATTCATATGTTGTTATGTGGTATTTTAAAATTGTATATATGATAGAAGTTACGTTTAAATTATTATATTAGTAATATGATTGTATCATGCAGGACCCCACTGAAAAACACTATAAGGTGATGTGGGTATCCTGGTTAAATATAATAATAATAATAATAATAAATAGCCTATTGCTTCCTTACATTAGTGATAAACATCACAAATTTTTTGTAGAACGTTTGTAATTTAGCGAAATTGCCGCACACTCAAATATAGTGGAGTTAAAACGGAAACTTTGTTAGCGGCTTGGCGTTTGGTCAAGCTAAAGGCCTCTAATATATCGGTTTTGCATCAATAAACATGATTTTAAAATATATAAGCCATACCATTATAAAACGTCAAGGAATTAAGCCCTAAAATTTCGCATTTCGTTCTCAGACAAATTCAGCCTTTATAAATTTGAGTATCGCTTTCACAGAATATATATACGGCAAAAGAGCTGATAAAATAGTTGT